GCGACACGTGGGGGTCGTCGTGGCGCTCGGCTGCGCACGCTGCCGTTGGCTGCCTCCCGCGGAGTCCCTTGCGTCCCTCGGGGCTGCGTTTTGTCGGGGCTTGTCATCGCAGGCGAACATGCCGCTCACCCGTCCCGCTCCCCAGTCCTCCCCCTCCCCCCCTCCTCACCCTCCGCGCCCCCACCGCTGGGCGGCGGTCTCATTAAGGCCAAAGGGACGGCAGAGGTGCTCTCCCGCATCTCGGAGCTCCGTGTCGCCACGAAAGCAAATGAGAAGCTAGAGCCACGCACTTCTCGCATTATGTGCAACGGTTACGTCAAATTAAACACTGCAGTTTCTGCCTTCTAAACACTTCAACCTTCTTCACTTGCAAACGGTCCAAGGAAATTTCAAAGGAAGCTACTATGGTGTGTATCTGCAAGTATGTTTATAGTATGGAGCAAAATAAATGTTCAACCATTTGTAGCTCAATTACATATAAAGGTTCATACCTTATGTTATACTTTAACAAATTGATAACTCCCAGAACTGAAGCTATCATGTATCGCCTTATGAATTCATAGTAAATAAGAGGTTACAAATATGGTCACCGATTAATACATTTTAATATCTATCAGGGAACACAACAAAAACTTCCTACAAAATGAAATACTGATTTTGACACGACTTAAACATTATTTAATAATGTGTTGGGTTTCAAATTCAAGGAAGAGTAACACGCAGTTAACTTATCGAACTCGTCGTGCATAGGCGAGCGAACAACGCTTCCCCGAAAGAACAAAAATTATTCAAATAAAAAAAATCCATATTTCAACAAAAAAGCCCACGCAAAAACTGAAAATCGATTTGTTCAAAATTTTAAATTAATTTAATAGTTTATTGATTTAAGCTACAACGTTTAATAAAAAAGTTATTGAAAGCTTTTCTTAAAATAAGAAGTTTTACGCTTCAAAACGTCAAATAATTGTATCCTTATTACTACTAGTAGTCGCTCAGTGGCAAAAATTGACCGGCAATTCATAAATTTTAATTTTTAACTTCATGCGAGTTCTATTGTCGAAGAGTACATGGGCCAAAAATTAGTACAATTAGTTAGTAACAAGTAGTAATATTATTCTATTATTTACTATTTATATTGTTACTGCTTAAATCTATGCTTTTCACATACACAGTGAATAAAGAATCTTTCTTGTTAACTCTAAACGTAGAAATGACAACGTAATAGAAAGTACTCTCTATTTATAAATCATTGGGACAGAAGACGAAACCTCGGGTTCCCGCCAAGGAAATAAAGAAAATCAGGTATTGAGGGTCTAAAATGCATTTTGCCGAGTTATGTACGATTTATGACCATGGAAATTCGCAGCGTGTTGCGGGTGCTTCTGCACGCTACAATTTCTTAATTTATTTGTAACGTATTATATCAAATTGTCACCTTTCTGCAACTTCATCTTTAACTACGACGAATAAAACTCCCTTGGTGCGCCTTCGTGAATATGCTAAAAGTGGGGTCAAATTTTCTTTTTTCACGCTATTTGAAGATACCAGATCCAATTATACTCTTTATATATATTCATCACTTGATAGTATATTTCTGATCTTTTAAACCCATCTTAACTTGGAAGTTAATAAATGTAACAACATAAATGCTGTAAGAATGTCCTTTCAATCACTGTCTCCCTTCGCTTTCATTCCTGTCATAGAATGTGAGAAACCTTTTTCCGTCATTGCGAACATGTATTTTTCTTTTGAATGATCTCCTATTTATTATTGTAACTGTAGAGCATGTTTATTATGTACTAATGTGCATTTTTAAATGTGTAAGTCCGTAAGAATCAAATGGCCTTTAAGCCATTTGGTATCATATGAGTCAATTAGCTTACCGAAGTAACAGACATTTCTTTCTAGTAAAACCGTTTTGTGCTCGCCTACCTTTCGTTTCTAGCGATAAGGAGGTGTCTTCTATTGCATGGCAAGATGTGAAGTCCTATCTTCCTCTTCTGACCTGCTATTTGATCTCGCGTCCGACCCTCTGCTCGACTTTTTCTTGAGAAATAGTTCCTGCCCGTGCCCTCCCGAGTTTTAAGTTATCTGTCGCAATAATGTCGCGCGAAGTGTCTAGCTCAGGGTCAGTTTTTCAGGCGGTTAAGCCTCTCCTTCATTTGTCGCCTTTCCAACATCCTCTCTTCTTCTATTTTTGGGGCTCCTCGAACCGGCGAGCGGACCTCCCCGCCCGCGCCGCCCATCGGCCTGCCCCCCTCCCATCGCCTCCCTCACGCCCCATCACTCCCCCATCACCCGCTACAGCACTCGCCTCTTTCCATTTGCAATTTGACTCATTATATTTAAATAAATAAAACACAATATGAACAATTGATTGTGTGTTTCCGGACGCCTTCAATGATGTAGGTTCCCGTAAGTGTATTAGGCACATGTGGGTTACTCTGACTGGGAGAATTTTAGCCGCGGGCCTGCGTCTAATCAGTAGTTTTCCGAGTCGCGTTGAATTTTTTTCGATCACCCCAGGTTGGAAAAGCTACGCTGATAACGAGCACCGGCACCACGCTTTAGAATTCTCCTGCCTGACAACGACTGCGTATCGACCTTAGCTAGTGTCAGAAGTTCTGCCACGTCGGGATCTCGGAAACTATGACCTCCCTGTCGAGGCACTATGCAGTTGATGCCCTGCGCCACCTCAGGCTGGTGGGAGAACGACGACCCCCCCCCTGCGGGCCTACTATATTCAGCTGGCGGACATAATTCAACTTCTGCCTTGTAAGCACCCGCTAGGCAAAAACAACCGAAGCGAGCGCCTCCGGAA